TGCAGGTAACAGAAAAACAAAGTGGAAGGAACAGCAGTATGCATGCTCTGATTCTTGTGAGGGACTTACCCTGATTTGCTTGCACAGCGTCGCTGTTGGGTTGCTAGGAGTTACTGATATGATAGAGGATTAGTACAGAAAGTATCTGCTTGTAATCTGTAATCAGTATCTGATTTGATTTTGTTATTTTCAATCACCAGATTGGAAGTAATGATTTGTAGCGGTTGATTGCTTTTGTCAAGTGAAAAGTTCTGGATTCTGAGAAGTAAAATGAGGTCAGGAAAACTATGGCATACATCTATGTTTTCTGACTTTCTATAGACCTTGGGTAATTCTTCTGGAAAAGTACTACCTTCCCTAAACCAATTATTTTCACTGGGGGTTAAAAGGCTACACTTGAGTTGTATGATCAGCCTGTGTTAGAAAATCTGATCTTTGTCCCCTAATACTAGATTTCAGCCCGTGTACTTAGAGTTCTCCTCTAAGATTTCCCAAGCCACAAAGTTACATGCTGTGACCATCTCTGATGGTGCAGAGGAGGCCTGCCCACAGTGGAAGAGAATTAGGCCAACTCAATGAGAGAAGTAGGGCGAGCCACAGGAAGGGAACACATGAGTTTCCATTCCTCATTTGTTCTTGCCCATAATTCTATATCCTGTCCTGTTGCTCTTCCAATAAATCACCCTTTTTACTTAAGAAGGTGCATAGCTGGGATCTTGAATATCCCCTGAAGGCTCATGTGTTAAAGATTTGGTCCCCAGGGTGTTACCATTGGGAGGTGGTGGATCCTTTGAAAGAGGGGCCTTATGGGAAATTCCTAGGTCATCAGGGGTGTTCTTGAGCCCCTTCCCTTCTTTCGTCTGCTTCCTGTCCATAAGGTGAGCTGTTTGACTTCATCAGTTCTTCCCTCCCTCCTATCATGATATGCTGCCTCACCACAGGTCCAAAGTAATGAAGCCAACTGAAAATGCACCAGAACATCCAAAACTGTGGGCCAAAATTAACACTTTTGTTTATAAGTTGGTTACCTCAGGTTTTTTGTTATAGTGATGGACAGCTGACTAGCAGATGGTTTGAATTAGGTTCCTGTCACTTGTAAGCCAGGGATGATCAGTCCAATATGGTGCCATTCCCTTGTTATCTTGTTCTACATGTGCAGGAAGAGTGGAGGGAAGGGGAGCCAGTGTCCTTTTATCAACCTTGGGCAACTGACATATCTTGATTACTGAAAACATGGAATGAGGTCATTTCAGGGCACAGCAAAATGTCTAGTGGCTCAGAGATGAAAAAGGGTAAGTGATTAGAGGGAGAGGAGAAACTCAAAATGTGAGAAAGAAGAAACAAAAACCAAAACAAAACGTTGAATGGAGCCCAGCAGTCTGTTGGCTGTCTGTGATACCTACCAAAGCCATCATAACTTGGGACCAGAATTTTTTAACAAGTGTCAGTCATGCAGCTTGCCATGTGATAGGTTTTCCTGGCCTTTAAGGCAATAAAGGCCAGTATTTGTACAAAGTGTTTTCAGATCTTTATGTCATTGTCCAGATAAGGGAATTGCTCAGGAAGACTAAGGCTCACACAAGATCCCAACTACAAAGGATGGAACCAAAATTTAGATTCACAGTTTCTATGTCCAAACCTGTGGTCTTTTCCATGCAGCATTGTGGCTGTTTCAAGGAGAAGAAGGTCTGACTGGAAAGACATCAGCTGCTCAACTTGCAGGGGAGACCTTTCCCTAATTCAATATGACAGTCAATAAGAAAAGAGGAATTCCTGTCACCTTAGCCACCAGAAGTGGGCAGCTGCTGTGATAGGAACCTCTAAATAGTGTTTTATCTCAACTCACAGTCAACTGAATTATGTGAGGAAATGGGTAGCTTTACAAAAAGAAAGATGACAAGACAAGGAATGGGAGCCTAGTCCAGCGTCATCATTAATTGTCCACATAACCATAGGCAAGCTTCTTTCCCTTCCCGGCCCTCAGTTTGCTCATCTGTAAAATGAAAGGGTTGGAGCAGATGATCTCTAGGGGCTCCTCCAGCCCTATAATTGTATGCTATTTGCTAGAATGCTCAGCAAATATGCAATGCCGCAGTTTATAGCTCACTCTAATTACAGGGTTCAGTCAGAACAGAGAATCCTAAATCACTTCAATGTCTGATTCCTGTTCAGTCATGTCAGACCAGATTGTTTTTATATACATTAAATTTATGGCACTGTCCCGTCAATGGGAGGAGGCAAGGAAATTTCAGGTAATCTGTTCAGGTGAAGAAGGCCAGAAAGCTATAAATAATAATGAGAATGAGAACCAACAAGACACCTCAGAATTCTCAATGCATGCTCACAGAATATCCATAAGATACATGGAGCAAGTATTTTTGTTGTTGTTTCAGATGGGGAAAGTGAGGCACAAGATAGGCTTATATGATTTGACCAAATTCTCCTTATAACAGAACCAAGACTAAGACCAAGACTTCCTGACTTTGACTCTACTGTTCCTTCCAACAGACATGTAGAATACGCTCTCCACAGGGAGTCATATATCATTATACTCTCATTAGCAAAATGCTCCTTTCTGATGACAAGGAAAAGAGGTTGGCAGATATCATTCTTGTTGACAAGTTGGAAAGACATATGATTAGGGTACAAAGGCCACTCCAGTATTCTTTCTCACTTTTTGAATTTGCAAAAACAAAAGATAGTATACGTGCATCACAGGGTCTTCATTACACGAGCTGAAATAAAAAGAGAACTTGGTTGGGTTTAGATAAACCTATCATTATTTCAGATTGCATCTGGCTGAAGAGAAATGGGGTTTTTTTAGAATGTCGTCATCCATTCTATCCCTTCATTACAAGGCTTCCTTGTAACTCCTGCTTACTCTTTCATCTGGTGTATTTGTGATTTCTCTTCACATGACTCATCTTAGACTTTATTATCACAGTCATGGTAATAATGCTGCTTGACAACACTTTAAATACTTGGCTTCCCGTGATACAAGGCCATTAATTTTATATTACGTTTTTTAATACAAAGGACTGAGACAATGACTTGAAAGATCAAACCAAAGAGGTAATGCATTTTGGGGTACAGAAATTGGATCTAGACAATATCAGATAGGGTAAAATATAGAGAGAATGAAGAGAGACAGATTAGGATGAAAGTGGTTAAGCACGGAATGGGATTCTTTGATAACATTGCCCTAGTGTTTCTTTCTAGAAGCCTTGAAATGTCAAATGGACTTTTTAAAAAAATTTTTAATATAACATTGGAGGCACATACCCATAGCTTATAAAGGACATTTTCCCCATGAATTTTTTTTTTTAGAAAAGGGATTAAAAACTGACAGCAATTAGCTTGTAAGGATAGTCCTAAAAGGGGTCATAAAAGACAAACGAATATGGATTATAAATCCTCCTGAGGAGAAAGGGATTAAAGAAGAGGCTTAAAGGAAGAGGGATGCTTCCTGCTGCCTTGGGCACTAGAGCAGGCCTGGGATGGGGAGAGACCATGTAGAAGGCAGACTTGGGTAACTGCTCCTAACAGACTGAAAGGCATGCTTGCAAACACCAGAGCTTTCCAAAAAAGGAAAGGAAGAAGATAAGGCAGTGTGGAGACAAAAAGAGATTTCACTCCAGACACTGTGACTCTGAATTGGAAGAAATTTGTGGTCCCAGGGACTGGCTCAGAACAAAGGTGTGGCAGAAATGGTTTGTCTTTCTAAAGACAGCCATAGCACCTGACCTTGCAGCTGACCTTTCTTCCTTCAAACTTCTTGAACTTGCTCTTGAACTTTCTTGGATCAAAGATATTCCCACATGGTCTGCAGTTTCGTGACAAGGTTTGATTTCAGCTCCCTTTAGTTTTTCCGTCTCCTTGTAGAGAGCACTTATCATCAGCTAAGTGTGTCATATGTAAGGTAAGTATCCCTCCATGCAGGTGTTTGCCCTTTCAGCTCCTGGCTGGAGACAGCAGGTAAAAGCTTTGTTTGTCTCTGTCCAAGGGACAGACCCAGTGTCCTTCAAATGACGCCACCTACAGGATAACCTATTCTGCCCTGCAGTGAGAAAGACATTGTTAAGTAGGTCACTTGATTAAAAGTTACTGTGCCCGTCCCCTCAAACCATGCCAAACAGTCCACATACTGTCTGTTTGAGGAAAGTCCCAACCCACTTACTGCTGAAGTTTGCACTCTGAATGTCACCCAAAGATCCATGTATTAAGGGCTCGTTCTCCTACCTGTGGTGCTATTAGGAGGTGATGGAACCTTTAGGAGGTAGGGCCTAATAGAAGGGAGTGAGGTGGGGGGCAGAGGGTATGTGCCCTGGAGAGGAAGATTGGGACCCTGACCTCTCTTCTTCCTCCCTCCCTACTTTTCTGTTGCCATGAGCTGAGCACTTCCCTCTGCCATGCACTGATGACTTGATGTACTGTGCCACCATGGGCCCAAAGGTCCAGGTGACCATGGAATGAGACCTCTGAAAGCATGAGCCAAAATAAACTTTCCCCCTTTATAAGTTGATTATCTCAGACACTCTGATTGACGGAATGCTAACATACCTACCTACCAGCCTTATACTTTGCTTCCTTATCCTGGCTGTCCCCAAAATGGTCTTGGTTGCTTCTATTTCTGACTTCTTTTATGACCTCATACTGAGATTTTTCCGGCTAAGACTTTGACTTCCTCTGAGCTTCTTTCTCTACCTTCTTAGATGGTGACAACATCTCTTCTCCACCTACCTTGACTTTTTCCCCTACTACTTGGGCTTTACAGTCCAAGAAAGGACTGTGAAGTCAGGGCTACTGCTCACACTGCTGGGAGCATAAACAGGTATGCCCTGGTTTATGTCATCACTTAAGATCTCCTTTTCAGTTGAAATTTAATGTTAAAGAAATGGAGACCTAATGTAGAAATTTTAATTTGTGAGAAAGTACTTAACTGCCATACTTAGAGTGGGGGCTGGAGTCTCCCCTGCTTAGTTTCTCATTATCTCTCCTAGGAGGCCGCTCTGTGAAGCCCCCGTGTTTATAACAAGCATGGCTTGGACCACCTTCAACTAGAGGACTCTTGGCCTTTTTGCTACATCACACATGATCATGACCTAGTCCCACCCTCACCTGTGAATCAACTGCCAGCTCTACAATGCTGACTTCTAAGTCACCACATCCTGGTCTTCATCCACACCCACAGTTGCACATTTCCAGTTGCTTACTGGAAGTATCCCCACAAAGGTCCACATGTTCCTCTGCATATCCAAGATTTCATGTAAGTGTCTATCTTGCTACCCCAGCTCCTTCATTTACCTCTTCTGCTTCTTACTTCCTATGCTCATTGATAGGCCTGCAAAGAAGGCTGAAATTATCCCAGACTCTCCTCTACTCAAAACTCCTGCATAAGTGACCGGCCACACCTTCCTGTGATTCTGCCTTGAAAATCATTCAGCTCTGTAAACCACTGCCTAGCTGTGACTTTTGTCATCTCAGGTAAGGAGCAGAATGTGCATATCCTGATCTGGAATGTGCCTGGAGCCATTCCTGACTGCAACAAAAAAGAATCTTCACCAAAGTAAGGTTGAATCTACCACTGGAGACCAGTAGGGTCTTCATAGGACTTCCCTTAGCCAATACTGCTGATCTTGCTGTACTCCAAAAGCATATGAGGCTTGTTGAGAAAGCTTCTCATGAAAATGTCCACTGGGGAAAATGCAAATTGAGCCCATTCACTGATTGGCCTTTGTGTTTTCTGTTAGAATTACTCTCCTTCTGCATGGGTGGAGTGCTGTCACATGGTTGTTATGGTGAGCAATGGATCCTGTGGGCAGCCAATGGCCACTCCCTATCATTCCCAGAAGGCTATCTTAGTGTTCCTTATTGTGTACCACTCACTGCAGGGGAAAACTAACACACGGAAGCGACTGTTCTGTGTCCCATTGGGAGGGTCCTTGTTATGACAGATAAGTTATTTTCTTTTCTGTGGTTCCTTAAAGGTTCTCTAATTGGATGACCCTTTGCTATGGTACTTTTTATATTGATAACACACTGAAGCCAGAGACGAGTAATTCAAACGAGCAGAGAGCATAAGATAATGAGGCTGTTATAAACTCCCAGTGTTTAAAAGTCAATGACACCTGAAGTTCACAGGAGTTCCCTTCCATTGGGAATTTTTCTCACCTGCACAGAACAGACAGGGTGAATGTGACAACCCTGTGTCTGCTCTGCACATGTACTGAACTGGTCTTTTGGACTTCAGGGGATCCAACTCAGAACTTCTCATTCATGTTCTATTCAAACTTGAACAGCAGCTCAAAATCAGCACAGAAGTTTTATTTATTTATTTATTGTTCAGAGGAAAATGTAAAATCTGCAAAAGCATGAAGGATAATAAAAACCTATATTCCCATTACCTGGAAATATTAACTTTGCAAATTTTGTCATATTTGCCTACAGTTTCTTTTTTTTTAAGTCAAGGTTTCACTATATAGCCCAGGTTGACCTTGAACTTGTGATTCTTCTGCCTCAGCCTCCCGAGTGCTGAGATTACTTCACCATGCCCAGCTGCCTGCAGTGCTTTCTTAAGGCAATAAAATATTAGAGCTACAACGAAAGTCCTCTTTAGCCTCCAGCCCTAGGCCTGTGTTCATGCCTAGTCTATTCCCTTGAGACCACCATCACTGGGTGGTGGGTTCCCATTCATTTCTTCTACTGGTATAGAATTTATTCATTGTCATTCATTGTTCATCCTTTTAGTGACAAATAAAGTTTTGTATGAACTTATTTATATTTAGATAAATATATTTTTAGGTGTATCTTTTTCTTTCAAAACTTAAAATTTATCAGCTATAGTCTCAGTAACAAGGCACTGTGCTTCCTTCAAGCTATCTCAGCACCATGTGATCATCTCCATCTTAGCTCAAGATCATCTCCATCTTAATCGCCCTGGCATTTCTTCCCATTCTTTTTTCCTTTTTGTCCTTTTGTTATGTCTCTAGCTCTTACTTATTAAAAAATAATTAATTAGATTTCTATCAGTCTTTCTCACCATAGCTCCTTGCAATAGATTCTTTCATTTCTTTTTTTTTTTCTCATGGAAGTGTATTCTCAAGTGATTCTTCCAAAAACACTTGAGAAAGTATGTCTTCTATGTCAAAATGTCTCTCAAAATGTTTTCATTTTGTCCTCATTCTTAAAAAGACAGTCTGGGTATATAATTCTGATAGTTATTTTGTTTCAGCTCTTTTAAAACAGTATTGCTGGGTACAGTAGTACTACTGTAGTCCCTGCTACTTGGGAGGCTGAGACAGGAGGATTGCTTGAGTCAGGAGTTAGAGGTCAGTCTGAACAACATAGTGAGACCCATTTCAAAAAAGTTCAGAATGAGTCAATTAGTAGTAAAATGCATTATATATTATATGTAAGGTGGTACTTAGTTTTCTTCTGGAATTTTTTACTCATGAGATGTTGGCTACTGGTGTTTTTTAAATGGGCTAATTTTTCTCTGTGATAGCCTTCAGTATTTTCTCTTAATCCTAAAAATTTGCAGTTTAAAAATGTTTATATATAGGCTGGGCGCTGGTGACTCATGCTAGCTACTTGGGTGGCTGTGATGGTGAGGATTGCATCTAGAGGCCTGCCTGGGCAAATAGTTCACAAGACCCTGTCTCCAAAATCACCAGAGCAAAAGGGACTGGAGGTGTGGATCAAGGGGTAGAGAATCTGCTTTGCAAGCATGAAGCCCTGAATTCATACTCCAGTCCCACCAGAAACATGTGTATGTAGATATTTTAAGTTTATTCATCCCTAGTGGGTACTTTTATTATTATGAATCATATCTTTTTACCTGGAAATTTCTCCAGTCTGTTTTTATTTGCATATTTTCTCTCCTTTTCTTTTTTGTATATTCTTTTACTGGAAATATGTTAATCAAATTCTCATTCTGTTTTTTAATGTCTTTTAAGACATTATTTAAGACTGATCATGGTGTTTCACACCTGTAATCTCAGCTATTTGGGAGGCAGATTAGGAGGATCATGTTTTGAGGCCAGTTTATAGAAAAATGTCAACAAACAAGACAGGTGTAGTGGTGTGCACTTGTGATGGAGGATCAAGGTCTGAGGCCGGCCCTGAGCAAAAGCAGGAGACCCTACCTAAAAAAATAACTAGAGCCAAAAGGGTTGGGCATGGCTCAAGTGATAGAACACCCCCCTTTCAAGTGCTTCCCCAAATAAAGACATTATTTAAATTTATTATTTAAATAATAGTTTTGGAATATTTTGTCTGTTCTAAAGTTTTACTTCAGTTGTGTTTAGTTCACAACAGTATTTTTCCTACACAGCAATGACTATTTCTTGCTTTTGAGTACTTTTCTTTTCCTCTTGGGATACTTTGATATTTTTCTAAGAAGGTGTCTATATATTTGGCAAAGGAATCGTTTCTCTACATTAGGAACAGATGGTGAGAGAACTTCAGTGTATGCTCAAGTCACACTTCCTACCTTTTTAGCTTTTTGTAAATTTTTGTCCTGTCCTGAATTATTGCATCTAGTATTGTTGTAATGACCATATTTTCCAAATTAAATACCAAGTTTCACGGGCTGACCAAGGACAGTTTTATAAGTTGTCAATTTATTTAAATAAAAAGTCTTAAAAATTATACAAACAAATCACAAGTAACAATTTGTTGAAACTAATAAAGTCACATGAACTGTAATAACCCACCAGAATCCAGAAGGGAAAAGTCACTAGAAATGGAACAAACACTTCCAATCTATTTTTATGACTCAGGCCCTGACAAGGCCTGGATGATTCCCTCTCAGTTAGTAGGTCTCCAAATGTAGGAAGTAGAGGTGAAATGAATACACATCAAATGGACTTATTTTATATGGTTTCTCTAAAAATCTCAAAAGCAATATGTTTTCTTGTGAGTTGACCTCTGTGATCAAAGTGGAGTCTAGCAAAATAATGCAGTTATTTGAAATTCTTCTGTAGACAGATATCAACTATAATGGCGGGTTTTGTTTGCATGGGTTTCAGGATTGACCACAGTTATAAACACACAAGCTGTATTCATTGTGAAATTCACATTCCTTTGACAAAATAAAGTTTACAGAACATTTCTTCATTATTATCTTAACATCATTTTTATATTGTGCCCAGGCTAGAAGTCAGTAACATCAGTAGTGAACGCAGGAAAAGATGATATTTCATTGTAACTGGGGAGAGGACTTCAACAGTCGTGTTTTAAAAGTTCAGGTTGTGAAGTCACTGAATGATAGTACTCTTACGAGCAAGTATCACATGTAAATCTTCCTGTGTCTTTGTGGTTATTAACTAATGGCGTAATGATGCCAGGAAGAGTCTTAGCTGGAATTTGTGGTTTAAAGTAGAGAGAGAGAGAGAGAGAGAGAGAGAGAGAGAGAGGAGAGAGAAATCTTGGCTGGATTCCCTTTATAGATCTACAGACTTCAGTGCTTGCCATACAATGAAGGATTTGTCTTCATCCTTGTTTTTGGAAAACTAATGAAATTCGTAATTTGTGGCTTATGTCTGTGGTACCGAAGGAAATCACAAAAAGATCTATGTGCACCTTTTAAAAAGACAAATTGCAGAAATTACAAGCAAACAAACAAGCAAAGCAGTACACGTAATGCTTTCAGTATTTCTAGGAGAACAAGCTCTTTCAAAATTAAAATTATTTATGGTTCAGTGCTGTTACAAATGAGGTACCTGTGTATTAAACCTGCATCAAATGATGTTTTGGAGTCAAAATTGGCCTCCACCTCTACCAATTACATGTGTTCCAGGAGAGGTCACGGGCTGCTCCCCTACCTCCCGTCCCCCCACCTACCAGGAATAATTACCTGGTTGCAGGTAAAACTCTCTAGATATTTCCTCACAAAAAAGGCACAGATACTGGAGGGGGAGGAGTAGGAGGGAGGAGGGGATTGGGAAGGATTGGTAGAGGTCTTCTTAGATCTTTGAAAAAAAGAAGAAATCCCAGAAGCAGGAGGCTGACATTCATGTGGTTAATATCCAGTTTTTGTTTATTCCATGGTAGAGAATAAATAGGCAGAAAAATCTTTTAGAGGAATGAAAATTAGACATAGATGAGAGATGACTGATAGACTGACAGTTGCCTAGTCACTAGGATATCTCCAATGTTCAATAGGTTTTATACGTACTTGACATTCCCCACATTGTCTATGACCTCACCAGATCTCCTTCTGCTGTGAAGATCTACACAGTTACTTCTGTCTTCCCAGATTCTTGCCTGGAAATATTTACAGTAAGTATCCAGGAATAGGCCATTTCTTATGGGATTTTGGTAATTTTCTCTTTCATCTTAATTGTACATAAAAGTTAATAAAAGTAAGCCAAAGGTTTATGAACATCAAAAGAAAAAAATGCCTTGAAATACATTCAGTACAATCTCTCTTTTTTGTTTTTCTAGATAGGGTCTCCCTATGTTGCCCAGGCTGACCCCAACCCCAGGGGCCTCCTGCTTTGGCCTCACAAGTGCTGGGATTATAAATGATTATAGGGGAATTACAGGGATTTTAAGTGAGCCCACCACACCAGGCTCAGTAACAATTTTCTGAGGCTATATAGGTGCATTGTGTATGTAACTCAATATATCCATGCAATTTTTTAAAACCACAGTAGCAATAAGTTTCAATTGCTTTGTACCCATATCAGAAAGCTGAAGTATCCAGAACAGAGGTGTCTTCTAAGTGGAGGACCAGGCAGTAGAGAAAAAGCTAGATATTGAAATCAGGTTTCAAACACATAAAGCCAGAGGAAAAGATGGAAGAGTTCCTACTTACCAAGATGACAGTGACAATGTGATTTGCAGATTTAATATGATTTCAGACTTACTCTGAAATCAGATTAAATTTAGAGGTATTTCACATGATGAGTAGGTACAGGACATTTAAATTTCTTGTAGGAGAAGACAGTAACCAAGGAATACTGAGTTATCTCCTGCTGCTTAACATTACGTATCTCAAAAGCTCCTGATGTAAGGGTTTTTTCTTACTTTCCATTTCGATGGAATCACCCCATTTTATTATGGCATCTGACCTGAACTTCTTAGATGCATATTTTCCATATTTTTGAAAACACTGGGCTGGCACAAACTGATGGTTTGCGCTGCCAGTCTTAGTGCAGCTGCAAAGCCAAGGACACGTCTCCCCTTCGCCTTCCCTAGCCTATTGCCTGTGTGGCCCAAGAGGAAGCAAGAGCTAGCAAACAGCGGCCCCGAGTGCTACTCAATTCCCTCTGCCTCCATGGCTTTGTGTCCCCACCTCGTACAGCATGAACCTTCATGTGTTAAATATGTGTCTGTAAGTTTCCCAAGAGCGACACTCACTCAGGTCCACAGTTTCTGGTGGTAGGCGACAGAGATGGAGAGAGAATAGGGAAGTTATCCATCTTAATGAGGGGTTTGAGAAACACTCCCCATCTTACATCTTATTTTAAGCCTGCACTTCAGAAATAAGAGTGAGGAAGTAGGAAATCAATGGGATTAACTGTCCTCTTATTCCTTATTTTTATAACACTTAAGGGTTATTTTTTTGGTCTCATTAAGAATTTGGCAGAGCACAGGTTTCAATGGTCTCATGTCTGCATACAAGCAATATGTTCTATTAAAATCTTTGGCTCATTTATTTTAAGTGTTTCTTCAACAACATAAAAGAGTGTCAAATTCCTTCAGTTTGGAATAAAGGAACTGAGTCTAGGAAAAATTATGTTAAAGCCACCTTCCTTTGAAGAGTGTAAAAGCCCCCAGATCCTACCATATTTTAACTGCTTTACCTCATTGCATAGGTCCTGCTGAGTTGTCATCGACATTCCTTCTTTTCCACCCCTTCTATTGCATTCACCTCTAGCAACCAGCCAATGAGCACAATAACAAAGAAGCCAAATGGAAAATATAGAGCCCCATGTTCAACAGCCACACCAGAAGGAGGCCGGGCTGGAGGGAAACAGAAAGGGGATGTGGTAGTAAGAATTTTCATCACTGTGACAAAATACCTGAATGAAATCACTTAAGGGAAGAAGGATATGTTTTGGCTCATGGTTTCAGAGTTCTCAGTCCATGGTTACTTGGCTTTGTTGCTTCTGGGCCTTTTGGGTTCATGGGTGGTGAGACAAAATATCATGGTGGAGAGAATAGGGTGGAGCAAAGTTGATCCATGGCAGATAAGAGGCAAAGAGAGTGAGAGAGAGTGAGCTTGGTTAATGGGCTTTTTCTTCCACTTTGGTTCCTTGAGGGATCCAGCCCATTGAACAGGCTGTCCACATCCAGGGCAGGTCTTCCCTCATCAGTTGCTCTCCCACACATCAATCATCTCTGAAAATGCCCTAATAGAGGGCATGCTTTACTAATCTAGGCCCTTCTCAATCCATCCAACTTGATCTTGACAATCAAGATTAACCATCACAGCCAACATTAAAGAAATTAGAGGTCATGTGTTTTACACATTTTGTTGCTTAGTTCCATTCAGTGAACTTTGATTTCTCTTGGTTCTGGGAAGGGGCTTTATGTTTATTTTCTCTTGCTGGGCTAACTATCTAGATACAGTGAAATAATTCAGAAACTGCTATTTCAAAGACCTCAGGCAATATGGAAAGGAAAGTAAGGAAGAAAAGAGCAATTCATAACTCAAGCTTTGCTATTTCCTAGTGAGAAGCTGCAAACTGGGTCTTACAGCAGGTGAAGGCTGAACTCCAGTGTAAGAAGAAGCTCACTTCTCCCCACAGTGTCTGGGGGAAGCTGCCTGGATGTCCTCCAGCATGAACTCATGGTCTTGACATCTTTGAATTCCAAGGTACCTGTATTAGCTTCCACAGTGGTGGTTTAAAACAATGCTCACTCATTTTCTCATAGACGTTCAAAATTTATTGTCTTGAGAGATTTCCAAGATCAGTTTCAGATGGCCAAATCAAGGTGTTGGCAAGTCTGGGCTTTCTCCAGAGTTTGTAAGGGAGACTCTGTGTCTTGACATTTTCAGCTTTTGTTGCTGCCAGAATCCCATTCCAATTTCTGCTTTTGTAGGCACACCACTGTCTCCTTTTCTGCCTGAAACCTCTCTTCCTTCTTATGACAAATTGTGATTGCATTTGGGGACCACCCAGCTAATCTGGAAGACTCTTTCTATTTTATGATCCCCAACTTTATAAGGTGCACTCACAGCTTCCTAGGGATTGGGATGTGGACTTTTTGAGGGCCACAATCAACCCCCATAACACATTGTTTGCTTGGTACTTAGATTTTGGGGAAGTGAGCTTGTTTGTTACCTATCTGAAGAGTGGTTGATTCCCAAAAGTGATGAGCACAGTTTAGTAGCTGTAGTGCTCAGGTCAGACTGAGGGATTACAGCATCTGATGATGTGTCCTAGGATTTCCAAGGCTCAGATTTGGCTGGAGGATGTGTATTAATTATACTTAAAGCCTTCATTCAATGTTCTGGATAGGAAGCAGTACTCTGTGTATTTTGAAAGATTTAGAATTATAGGATATTTCCTCTTACTTGGAATTTACTCTGCACATGGGCAGAGTAACAAACACATGAGCAAGAAAAGATACACAACCTGGCATGAGGAAGGGACGTATGCTAGTCAGCTTTCTGTTGCTGTTACAAAATAGCTGAGAAAAATAACAAAAGGAGGAAAGAAAGCCAGGCGTGAGATTACACACTTGTAATCTCAGCATTTAGGAGACTGATACAGGAGGACCACAAGTTTCTGGCCAGAATGGCCCACATAGAGAAGAAACCCTACCCCTACTCCTCCCTCCAAAAAAGAAAGAGGAAAGGTTGATTTGGGTTCAAGATTTCAGTCCATGGTCAATTGGCCCCATTGTTTTTGGGCCTGTGGCAAGGCAGCACATCATGGCAGGGAGCATGTGAAAGAGGAAGCTGCTCACCTCACGGTGACCAGAAGAGGAAAATCAAGGTCCCAATAGCCCCTTTAAGAGCACACTTCAATGACCTAACTTCCTTCCACTATGCCCCACCTCCTAAAGTTCTACTATCACCAATAATACCATCAGCTGGGGACCTTGTCTTCAACACATGAGCTTCTGGGAGACATTTAAGATTCAAACCATACAGTAGGGGAGACATGATACGTGCAAACGGGAGATAATAACAGCAAGATGTGGCATTTGGGTTGCACTCAGGAGAATGGGATCTTTTAGTAAACTATCTAGGAGCATCCTAGAACCTGGGTATTCACCCACCCATGGCTGCTTTAAGGGTCCCTCCTGTATTTTTCAGTATCTACCTTTGCTGTTCTTCATAATAAGCTCTCTCACATTGTTTCTAATAGCCAATCTCCCCAAGTAGGGGACAAGAGTTTGTTCACTCAGAGATCTGCAGGATGTAACATAGTGCCTGGCATATTGTAGACACTCAATGAATATGTGTTGGGTTGAATGAATTAGTAGAGAGAAGAAAGAAGGAAGATGCTGAGAGGCAGGAAATTTTCCTCAAATCAGTACAGTGTTGTTTAGTCATAGGATGAAAGTGGGGCAGTGTGACTAACTTGGCTCTGGGGACAGTTTAGTAGAAAGGAAGTGAGGAAATGGTGGTTCTGTTCTCACCGTGGCTGGCAGTGTTCCTGTGACTGTTCTTGGCAGGTGTGAAGGTGGTGGCAGGCTGTTCCTGGCAGCTCACACCCACCTAATGTGGGAGGTAGTGGTAGGAGAGGGATGGGAATGAGAACATGGATCTTTTAGCTCCAACCCCAGTTCTGCCACCTGTGTGAACGGATGAATTGCTTAGACACTCCAAGTCAAGGTGTTCGTGTCTGTAAGATGAAGGTACACCCAACAACTCTGATCTGTCAATCAATAAGGCAATCAATCAATAAGACAGTCAATCAATAAGACTGTGCTGGAATGGAAGCAATAGTATTATTATCATAATTACAGATGATCCCCAATTTAGGATGTTTTAACAATGATTTTTCAACTTTATGATGGTGGGAAGGCCATGTGCGTTCAGTAGAAATAGTATTCTAAATGTCGAACTTGGACATGCAGACAAATACCCTCAAGATACCAGGCAGTGGCAGTGAGCTGCAGCTCTCAGTCAGCCATGCTGCACAGTCAACAGAGAAAACAGCACAGTGTCCTGTGTTGCTAAGCTAAAATACTCAGTAGGATCAGGGCAAACAATGCAATTTTGTCTTAGGATAGTTTCATCTCAACTTGTAACCCTGTCATAAATCAAGGAGCATCTGAATATGTTCTGTGGGTTAGACGCCTTGCTGGGGGGAATCAGCCACTATGTGTCTGGCTGTGTCTTGGGCAGCTGTACTGACATCTGAGCCAGCTTGGGTGACTCTCAGGTCCCAGAGCAACTCTGAAGAGAAACCAGGCATTTCAGAGGTCATGACTGATGTCTCCAAGGCTTTCTGTGCAAGTGTAAGCACCAATAGGGCCATTTCTAAAGATTTAACTTTGGCTGCTGGCTCTGAGTCTACTATCAGCTTGCAAAGGTCTTAAGATACAGAGTGATGGTTCACAGAGAGCTCTGGGACATCCTTGCTCTGCTTGAAATCAGGGTTGAGTGAGGCAAACTATAGTACCAGATCTGATTTTAGAGCCAGACTGTGTCTTTGGACCTACCCCTTAAAGAGCTGTGACCAGCAATTAGAGCCAATGGGTCTTTTTTTAGTGTTAATTGGAATGCTATATGCAACCCAGAAGCCCCCACCCCCACACACTGTTGTTTCTCCTGGTATCTGTCTTAGATGCTAAAGTTTAGAATGTGACTAAAAGTTTGGAGCGATGCTGACTGGTTTCTAGGTCTATCTCCTCACAGTGTGGATTGTAGGGCAGTTTCTTTCTCATCAACAGGGTTAAAGGTCACAAGGAACAGTGCATTTCAAATTACTTGATGGATTGGGTAAAACCCATTTACCAGTTGAAATAGTTTTAATAGATGAGGCCCTCACCAGAGTTTTAATTAAAAATCAATGTGATATATAATTAAATTCTAGTGATCACATATGCACCAGCCTGTCTCTTTAGCTTTTAGCCAAAGGCAGAGGAGGAATGCTATTATTGATCAATGCAGGAGTCCTCTGAGGCTGTCAATATGAGATGTCTCGTCTGAGGGCCGTGTGGCTACACAAAGCCCAGAAGTGTCTGGAGTCTGAAGGACACTGGGCTCCCTAACCATGTAAGTGCTCTGCCCAGCAGGACCCAGCCCACAGTCTCTGCCTTGCCTTATCTCTCCAAGAGCACTTCAAGAAGGCTCTAGAAGAGAGGACATCGATCAGTGCCTTCCAGCATTTTAGCTTTACTTTCTCTATAGGACGATGGGTAAGTCCCTCTAGTTATTTTCAACAAGGTCTGTCAAGTACAAAATTAAGTCTGCTGACTCACGATGACTCAGGATTACACTGATGAGAGACTCAAATGAAGGTAGCTGATGTGTCTAGGTTGCCCAGTCCAGCATTGGGATCTATTCCACTCCTATTATGTGGAAAACTATTATTGGTATTTTCTGTTCTCTTTAAAAGAAAGACATCAGTGTTTCTTTGTGTGTAACCATGGCAGCATCTCCCCATCCCAAATGGGGGGTACTAAAGCTCACGTGTGTGATCTGTATAATCCTGCTCCCACGATTTGTCTCCTTATTTGATTCTCATTGCAATTTAATGATGGGGGGCATGGAAGTGGTATTTGGAGTCCCACTTTACACATGAGCTTTTCCTCATCCTAGGCAGAAAGGGCTAAAGGACTTATCCTTGTTCATCCAGCCTGAGACTTTTGGAGTCTTCTGATATCTTCTCCATTCCCTCCCTGTACCACGCTGCCTGCTCAGTTGCTGCTGGTGACCTAGTTACCCTGCCAGGCTTCCTCTTCCTCAGAACACTTGAGCTTTCTCTTTTCAAGCTGAATTTAGCAAAGAATACATTTAAAGATGTTTTGATCTTCCCTTCTTTTCCTTTAGATTTTTATTACACACACGCCAATATATCTTGGTTGTAATGAATTTAAATTATGGATAAGAATACAGATGGCACAAAGCAGCCATTCATGACCTGGATGATCATGGACGCCTCCGCTGTTCCCCTGAGCCTGGGGTGTGCCACCTTCCTCCTCTTCCTCCTCCTTCCTTTTTCTTTTCCCCTCTCTTCTTCCTCTATCACCTTTCCTCTCCTTCTTCCTCTTCTGATCTCCCTCTCTCTTTTTCTATGTATAGACATTAAAATAAAATAAATATGCTATTTTGCACAAGTTGGGTAATGGATTTAGAAAACTGGCTTGGTAGAAAACAGGACTGTTGCTGGAACCTCTCCTGAATAAAGGAAAAGGACTGAAAGCTTTCTATCTTGGAAGCCTCCCATTCTGCAGGCTGAAGTATGGAAGAAGGAGGACAAGACATTAATGAGAGAATAGCGAACTCAGATTTTTCACCACCTACCCTTGTGGGGAGACACAGAAGCAAAGGCAGAGAGACAAATAAAACCCCATGAGTCACCTTTGATTTCTCTCTTTTTCTCTTAACCCGTGTGGAATCTACTAGCAAGTTTTCTCTGTTCCATCTTCATAATGCCAGCTGCCATGAAGTAATCTACCCAAAATTCAATCCCTTTGGATCACCTCCCAACTAACAGCTTGGCCCAATCTACAAGTATCACTCGCCTGGATTAATGTAGCTGCCTTAAGTGGTTATGCCAGAGTCAGCTTGTGAAATCACAAGAGCCAATTACTAAATTTCCAGAAAATTTTCAAGTTAGTTGTGAAGCACAGAAATTATTTAAAAATTAAATAATTTAAACTTATTGTTAAGTCATACTTAAA